GGAAAGATGATATTGTGAACGGCAACATCATGCAAGAATGGTGGATTTAAGGGTTGGTTTGTGCAGTGGGTATCGCCAATAAAGACTGAAAGTCTTGGTGATATCACAGTCTGCATACAACACTTGGTCATATTTGTGCAGTTCTTAGTGCAGTCTGTCGGTACCCACGTTGCAAATCTACAATCACAGCTAGTGGCCTGGGTCTCATTAGCAAGAAATAGCTTCATAACCAATGACTGCAGAAAAGAAGTGAATCAGATTGTCAAATGAACTAATCCTCCCATACCTAGATGGGAGTCATTCCACTGGTTTCTCTGAGCTTCGGATTGGCTCGTGTCAGGACAGAGTGGGTAAGTTACAGTGCCAATCCCTACATTATTCCTGATCTGCAGATAGAACACCTCCCTGGATATCAGGTACCTTTCACAGGAGGTTTGCATTTTGTTGAATAAGATTAAACTGAAAGTTCATCAGTGGTATAGGGAGGTTACTGTTCATCCTTCAGTCATTTAACTTAGCAAAGGATTTGGAAATAATACAATAAAGAACTGAAGGCTGAATGTTGACATTGATTGTTGTTCAGTCTAGGCCTTCAAAAAGAAAACATTCAAGGGAAAGCATATTTAAACTAATACAGTAAGTTCTTCCTAAACAAATACCTAATACAAGACTGATGATGTTAAATACAGTATGCTTGCCCCTAGAGCAGTGCATTTAACTAAAATGAGGTCATTTGTCTGGTGTGTACATCTTTCTCTAAACATGGCAAACACAGGAAGTAGCTGTTCAAAATCAAATTATTTCTTAGTACTGTTTCTCAATGAAACCATAGGTCTGAAAGCTGGTCTGAGTAAATCCATTGAAACCCTTGAGTAATTCCATTACATTCTGTGAAATAATACTGGAAATGCTAGTATCTTTCTAAGTAGAATATGGCCTTTTTTGTTTAATACACATGCTCTCCTATCCTTTGTTTTTAAGCACAATAGATGTTTGTTACAGAAAAGTCAGGTAGATGCATGGAAAGAAGTATTATCAATTTTCTGCTTCTCTGGGGATATGTCTAATATTTTGTTTGTAATTATTTTAACATATCACTGAATCACTATTTTAAGAGGCTTTTTTTTTTGCTGTCATTTCCTGGCTGGGGTTAAATTTATTTTATACTCATTTGGAGTTAATACAAAAACACTTAGACAAAGAAGAGAAGTTGTTGTCCCATACTAATATTCAGTGTGTTTTCTCAGTATCTGAAAAGCAGCTCAACATATAGAGAGGCCTCAGAATATGCTAACAGATGTATTTGTTTGGTTTTCAGGATCAGTGGTTTTGGCGTGTCAGAAACAATAGGGTGATGGATGGATATCCCATGCAGATCACCTATTTCTGGAGGGGACTGCCTCCAAGCATTGATGCAGTTTATGAAAACAGTGAGGGGAATTTTGTTTTCTTTAAAGGTAAGAAGAGCTAAAATCAAGGTAACACTTGAAAGCTTGCTGATACTACAAGTAAAAGCTTTCTGCTACACACATAACATCACCTGTGACTTGGGAGAAATTCTGAATTTCGGGGATTCCTGGATGAGTGAACAGATAATGGTAAAATGCAAGCCTGCCACAGTCTTTGCTCATATTAGCTACCATTTCTCTTGCGTTTATATATACATATATATATATATAGAGAGAGAGAGAGAGAGAGAACAGGCTGAAGTTACCCTAACAGGAGCTAGGTAACAGGACCCAGAGGTAACCCCTGCCTGAATTGGCATAACTTTGAACTGCTCAGAGGACACATAACATGAGTTAGGGAACTTTAGCTTGTGAACACTCATGTTTAAAGTCTTCTTAGTATGGTCTAAGTAAGTGTTTCCCAACCTTTTCCAGCTGAAGGCATACTTACATTAATACAAATTTTCTGCGGCACACCTGTTAAGGCATTCCCCGTTCTCATACCTATTGTAGCTCATTGCCATGGCAGAGTTCTGTGGCACACCTGTTCATTTCTGCTGGCACACTGTTATGCCATGGCACACTGGTTGGGAAACACTGGTCTACATGTAACATGTGATTTTATCCTAAGGTTCCATGTGTTTTCCATAGTTTTGTCTTCATCTCTGGTATTATAAGTTCATCACGGGGGCACAGAAGGGAACTGGTGAGTTTTTATTCACCAAGGTGCCCCCGGGGGTTACAAGAAATAATGGCCACAAGTTAGCAGAGAGCAGATTTAAATTGGACATTAGGAAGAACTTCTTCACAGTTAGAGTGGCCAAGGTCTGGAACGGGCTCCCAAGGGAGGTGGTGCTCTCCCCTACCCTGGGGGTCTTCAAGAGGAGGTTAGATGAGCATCTAGCTGGGGTCATCTAGACCCAGCACTCTTTCATGCCTATACAGGGGGTTGGACTTGATGATCTATTGAGGTCCCTTCCGACCCTAACATCTATGAATCTGTGAATTACTAGAGACATTTGCATATTTTAAGTAGCATCTGTTCCTGCTGTATATAGCTTACTATGTGTCATCTCTGCCATGTTACTGTAGCAGATCATTTCCAGTGAATTGATGGAAATCATGACGTTTCTTATTTCAGGTGGGAAATGAATTGCTAACAGATATTCCATTTTCATGTAAATGTGACTAGTAATTAAAAAAAAAAAAGGATAATAAAGAGTAAAACTAAGAAAATATGTTCTGTATAGTGAATTGTTAAGCAGTATGTTTTTTTCCAGGTTTTACTTCAGGCTTCAGCTGTTCTCTAATTTTAAAATTATTAAATATGCATCTAATTTAGATTTAATCTGAAAATTGTACTTTATGTTAAAGGAATACCAGTTTAACATCAAAACTTGTTCAGTGGAAATGAAAGCCAATGTAAAATATGATTATTTATAAGGTAGGAATTGTCAAAGAAGAAGAAGAAAAATCCAAAATGACAATAAGCAATCCGGTTGTAAAGCTCAGAATTAAATTTGTAGGTTATGACTGATTCATTGTTCTGCTCTTTTTCATATCATTGGCTGCTTATAGACATGGTAAAAACAAACAAACAGCGCTTTACCCTTAGCTATTAGATTAAAGCTCCAAAAAGCCCTGTTGAAGTTTGCAAGCTCTGGGCAAGCTAAATCAAACTGATGTGATTCCTCTTCCAGTCAAGCAGTGTTTTGTTTTGGCTTTTTTTCCACATCTGTCAGTGCCCATTATGCCTGTAAAAAACAGCTTAACCAGCTTCAAAGTAATATTGAGGTTGTTATTTCAAAAGTGGACCCACCTTTATAGTAGGAGCACTAGAATAATGCTGTATGATACACTTCCATGATGAAGAAACACTATATCCCAGACCGAATTATTATCATGGAGTGTGGAATGCAAAGCGGCAAATATTAAATAGTATGCAGAAATACTGTACCCTGGCTAAATACAGATAATGACAATGAATATTTTGTTCAGTTAATAAAAAATGTTCTCATGAACCCTGTACATATCCTAAGGCAAGTTGTGGGCCTTTTTATGTACTGTTTATGTGGTAGCCACACACCCATAACATAGGGTATCTTTACCTGTACTCCGGTGTGCAGGGTGCTTTAATTAGAGCGACTCTCGGGAGCTGGTCTAATTAAAGTGCCCACAGCGTCTTGTGTATTCAGTGTTCCGCACTTCAAAATTGCAGCTGGGGGCACTTTAACTAAAGCTTGTTTGACACTAAAGCACCCCCACCACCATTTTGAAGTGCAGGGATGTTAAATACACGTGATGCCAAGGCTGCTGGAGTGTGCTAATCAATCAAGTCTGCTCTTGATGTTGAAGCAGGCATCAGGCACATGTATAGGTACCCATAAATTCTAGGGCCAGTTAATAATGGAATAATAAAAAAATCATGTTTGAAGTTACATTTTTTTCATCTTCTCAATAATACCTTTTTCAGTTTTCTCAATAGCCATTTACCTCTAATTCTTCATAATTACAACTAATTTTTTAAATATAAAATACCACAAAAAAGATTGGCTTGGATCCTTCTAATCAGGTTACACTAACCTGGAAGCAAAGATCTGTCATTCTCATTGCATAAGCCCTATTCAACCCATTTCCTTTCAATTGTTTTCCTTCTGCATACTACAAGAGTGAAACAGCTGCTGCCTTAGTATTCATCTGCTGGTATTCGCTCTAATTCTGTCTCATTCATTTTCTCCCATTCTAGCTCAAGAAAAGATACAGAGATAAAGAAAGAGAGAGAGCAGAGCAGCACAGAGGTGATCTTATTCCTTCTCTGTGTGCCTTCTCGAGGTTCCCACCTGCTGAGAACAAAACAGTAGAAGGAAGAGGTTCCTCCTCCTGTTTTAGCTTCGACTAATGAAATTCACTGATTTATATAGATCTGCTTCAGACCACCTCTTTTCCTTCTTCTCCTCCACATCTGCCCATCCATGTGGCTGTGGAGCTTGATTCTGTCTAGGTCTCTCATATGTTTTTCTATTTGTGTTTTAATAAGGATTTACATCACCATGGTATCTGAGAACCTCTCTGTGTAAATTTGTTAGTCTTAATTGGAGTTGCATAAATGTAAATTATGTGAAGAAACTAAGGGCTTAATTCAGACCTGCAGGAATACCGTCTTGACTCCTTTCAGACATTTGTCTCACAATTGGAACCTGATTCATTTTATCGTGAATCCAAAAAATCATGCATCTTGCCATGCCACGTGCAAGGAAGGTTGCGTGATTTATGGGATCTGTGATAAAATTTGTCAGATTCCAATTATGTATCTGCTGGCTGCACCTGTCCCCACTGGGTGGGAAAAGTTGGGGATTGGGGAGCTGCCCACTCCTTGGAAGCGTCCTGATCCATAGCTGTCTGTATGGCACACCGCAAAACTTCTGGGTGCAGCCAGCAAACTGCACACTGATGGTAGCTCAGCTCCATGGACAGCCAGGGATGGGTGTGCTTCTGGGAATCTGGGATGTCCCCACATGCAGGGAGATGATGGTTGGCACGGTGCATCTTTAACTATTTCTGCAGGGGTGGAATCAATGGGTCCCTTCTGTACCAGGAATCTTAAAGCCCCATCATGCAGCCAGCATTGGGCTGCATAGCAGGGCTTTAACATTGCCATGCATTCAAATTAAACTGTGATACAAGCCAACCACAAAGATGTTCCACATTAAATCTGAAGCATCTCTGTCACTGGTTTGTCATTTTTATTGCAGGACAGCTTGCCTGAACACTTGGCATGTTTCAAAAACATTACAAGATACTCTCTTTAAATCCACAACAAAAGTAACATCTGGAGGGGGCCCTTGACTGCCAGAGCCCTGGATGACTTTATCAAGCTGGCAGCAAAGAAAGAAGGGAAAAATTATTGTTTAGTTTCAGGTAAAAGTAAAAATTTGAATGTCAAATCAATGAGACGCAATAAAATGGAGCCTCATATTGCCATTGTAACAGTCACTCCTGTTGTTTATATTACATTAACTGGAGGATGAATATATGTAGTCAAAACCTTGCCTAGTGTTCCTCCATGTTCTACTGGGAAGAACAAACTTAGCAATCATACCCACTTCTGTAAGATCCCTGCCCAGAAGCCTTGAAGCTTATTAATTGTTTACAAATTCCAGATGTCCTGCTGGCTGCCTCTTCACTGGTATAATTTCTTAGGAAATAACAACCAGACGGTATAGATCCATGGCTTTTCTCACATAGCACAGAGATACCCAAATAATAATTCTATTCAAATAAAATCACTGCAGTTTTCTTGTCTGCCTTCTCATCTTGTATTGTATGAGTGTGGCCATATGTCAGAACTCAAGCCTCTTAGTTTGCTAGACGTATGATATTTCATTAACTGTCTTAGAAACACATCCCACTTTACCTTTGTTTCCATAGTCGTCCTAAAAACCTAAATATGTTTTCTACATTCCTGTGACCTTCACCAAGAGGTGGATGCAAAAGATTTATGCACCCTTGACACATCTTCTCAGTTGACACCTTATCTTACAACATGCCCAAATGTGGTGATGATGATGATGGGCGATCACTCACGGATGAGTAAGATTGTCTTCACTATTAAGGATCTTAATAGTGAGTCTGCAGGTGGCTCCATAGCCCAATTCTAGATCTACATATCTTGCAACAGTGAGGACAGGTGTTTCCAGGAGGGATGGGCGTTGCTGCGTTGGATGTTCTGATGTTCTTTTCACCTCTTCCTCTTTTCCTTTTCTGCCTGTTGACAAGCTGTTTCAAAGTGTTGAGGTCCCTCCCAATCTTCCTCCATTTTGGTTGGTCCTGAGCAAGGGTTTCCCAAGTGTTGATGTCAATGTTACACCTCTTCATGTTTGCCTTCAGGGTGTCTTTGAAGTGCTTTCTTTGCCCTCTGCTGCTTTGCTGACTGTCTTTCAGCTGTGAGAAAAAGATTTTTTTTGGAAGGCAGGAGTCAGGCATGTGAACAACATGACCTGTCCAGCAAA